GGAGTGTGGGGGAAGAACTCTGGCGCATCTTTCCTGAGCTGCGGCCAGTACCCCGGCGGTGTTGCAGGACTGAGGTTGTGCCTGTCGCTCTTGGCGTTGCCGTTGTCGGTATTGGTGCTGGCGTCGTTGTGGCCGCGGGCGCCGCCACGCGCGTGCCCTGCGGATGCCTCTGCGGCGAAGTGGCGCCGGTGGCGCGCCGCACGCTTGGCCGCTGACGGCCCCAGCGCGGCGATCTCCCAGGTGCGGAGGTCGCTGGGCCGCCACGCCTTCGAGCAGCCCCCCGTATGGCCGTTGTTCGACTCTTGGCTGTAGGCGTTGTCGGCGTCGCGGGCGCAGGACATGAGAAGAAAACTAACTATGGAACGAGATGTAATATGTGGGGAAAGGGCACGCAAGAAAGGGATGTGAGAGAGGATGTCCTTGAGCCAAAATGGCTTGAGCCAAAATAACTACGGACCCTCCTCCTCCTCCTCCTCCTCCTCCTCCTCCTCCTCCTCCTCTTCGGACAACGACAGGATGGGCCCGGAGAGTCCTGGAGAATTTCGTTTCGGGTTCCGAGGTGAATTTCGTACGGATTCTCTTTGGCCAGGGATGAAGACCTTCAAAACATCCGCGCGATATTCACTTCGTTTTTCACTCGCCGTTTCGGGGTTTGGCATTGACAGAAATCCGCGCAAAAATCCGCTGCAGCACGTCTGCAAGGTCGGTGCAGTGAATAGTGATCTGCCACGCGCGGGGGTGGCCTTCCGCCGTAGTGGCATTTGCAGGGCTCGTGTCGATGCCTCCGAGTCGATTCGATTCGATTTCGATGTGGATTCGGTTCGGCCATCGGCATCGTCGTCCAATGTCGATGGCTTCCGATGCCAATTCGGTGCGTCTTCGGATTCCGATCCGGAGTCCGATTTCTCAACGGAGGCCTACCATTCTGCCGATTTCCGCCGATTCGACTGCTCCCGACTCTGCCGATTTCCGCCGATCCGATTCATGTCGATCGCCGATCCGACTTGCCGATTCGAGCCTGGGTTCTCCCGCAGTGAGCGGCTGCGCGCGAGAGAGGCCCTCCGCCGGAGTGACCTCTATTGGTGCGGGCTCCCGAGGGCGGCCCCAGCACCGGCTCGCGCGCCTGGCTTCCTCGCGGTCTTCGGAAGCCACGCGACAGAGGTCCCCCTTGCCTAATATTAGGGGCACTCCTGCGTGCAGCCGAGGTGAGGAGGGGGCTGGCCCCGTCCCCAGCCCCCGTCTCTCGGAGGAGGGAAGGGGGCCGATACCGCTCGACTACACGTGAGAGTGACCCTTCGCTGGAGTGACCTTCGGTGCGGGCCCTCAGGGGTGCCCCCGATCGCCGAACGCGATGCGGCAGTGGCGGCTGGCGCGCCTGGGTCGAGCCCCCCCGCGACCCCCAATCAGCCGCGCACCAGAGGCCAATCTTGCCCAGGGTCACTCTTGCATGTAGCCGACTGCAGGACGCCCGCCCCATCGAGGAGAGGGCTGGCCCCGTCCCTCCGAGAAGGAAATGGTACCGCGGAGCTGCACTCGAGGAAAGAAGCACGACGCGGCATCAGTGTGCTACCAACTTGCTCATGTCCTGCGCAGCACCCAGGAGCAGTCAGGACCCCGCCTTAACATGTGCCAAAGAGCACAGACCGCCTGAAATTACCTTCGTTTGGCCTGCCGATCGCATGCTCATCTTGGGGCCTCTCCCCAGGCAAGTCGCCAGGCGCGCTTCCGTTAACACACCAGTGCTAGCCTCTCCGTCTTTGAGTGCGTTGCGAGAGCTGTTGGCGACTTTTCCGTAGCTCTAGCACTGGGCCGCTGCGGGGGATGCACCAAGCGGCGCTTTGGTTCTCTGAGTTACCGAGGCGCGCATGTCAACACGCGCTTGTAGTAGCCGGCGCCTGTTTTTCGCGTGTGCAGACGGACCTTTGAATGGCTTGTTTGCCGCAAGCCCACTTTACTTTCTAGTCGGGGTCATGCGTGCCGCGCCAGAGGGAGAGGGTAGCTCCCCACTCCTGCTCTTTCCGCGGCGCCTCCCGCCTTCTTAGGCAGGCCTGCACATCCGCTGTGGGGCCTGGATTAGATCTGGTCCGAATTGGTGCGCTTTTGTTTGTTATATTTTATCTTTCCTCGTCCTCATCTCGCTCCGCGGCCGCCTTGGCGAGGCCTCTCCCTCCCTCTCCCGCTCTCTCTCTGTCTCTCTCTCTCTCTCTCGCTCTCTCTCTCTCTCTCTTTCTTTCTCTTTTTTGTGTCTCTCTCTCTCTCTCTCTCCCTCATCGATTCCTCTCCCCACCTCCCTCTCTCTCTCTCTCTTTCCTGCCTCTCGGGGACCTCTGCGGCATGCGTCCCCCCCCCGATCTACGTCTCTCGAGCTGACGGAGGGGAAGGGCGCCCAAAGATCCGATGTCTTCTTTTTTCAATACGGGGTCCCTGGAAGTCTCGATCCATTCCCCGGGACCGGTTTGTCATCCTGAGTCGTTTTTAGACGGTCCTTGGGCCCGGCGAGGGCCCCTGGAGGCCGAAGAGGGCGAGAAACCTCCGTCTTGATTTTTTCAATGCGTTGGTTCTCTTCAGTGGGCGGCTTCCCTCAGCGCCGACCTCTCTCGCCGCTCGCCGCTCGCCGGTGCTCCCGGGGCCCTCTGCGGCCGCCCGGCCGCCGCTCCGGCCGCAGGCCCTGCAGGCGGAGCTGGAGGAGGAGCGCGGGCTTCGGCTGGCGGGGGAGCAGGAGTGCTTGCCCCCGGTGGAAATGCCAGGGAGCCCCAGGCTCGGCACGAGCGAAATGGGTACGGAGAGAATGGGTATTCAATGCCCAACAGCAGTTCCCGTTCATTTTGAACTGGACTCGCTGTCCGCGCCGCCGCGGCCTGTGTCCCTTTAAAACAGGGGGCCGCCTGCCCAACAGCGGCCGCTGTTGGTTTGGGACAACATTTGCTGTTGGGCACTGTACCCATTATTTCCGTACTCATTTCGGGCGTCCAAACAAGCGGCGCGGTGGCCACAGCGTGTGGTGAAGCATCGGGGAGTCGGGTTGGCCGGGCGGTTTTGGGACTCGGGTCGTTCTTCGATGAGGTCTCGTGCGGTTCTGGCTTCCAGGGTCCCCACCCTGCGGTGAGGGTCCTTGCGGCGAGGTCTTTGTGGGGATTTCACAACCACCGCACGTTCTGTCACCGCATCGTTTTGGGCTAAAAGAGGAGTTTTTCGAGGAAGACAATTCCTGTACTTCTCCGTATTTTGCCACCTGTGGCTCCCCACAAGGCATGATGAACAGTGGGTCCCGTGGACCCCCCCCCCCTGTATCGAGGAATCGTCTCGTTGAGGGCCCCCATGACGTAATGGCAGGCCGACTAAGCCAAACCAAAGCGGATGGGTTGGCCTCCATATTTAGGGTTTGCCCTGGAGCATCGTTTACACCCCAAGCGATCCCCACAGGTTTGTCCTACAGCACTCGGTTCACAACGCCGTTTGGTGAGTTCGCTACCCCCTCCTCTTTGGCTTGGCTGGGGCTTCACTTCTCCCCAGGAGCAGGCCCTGCTGCGGGAGCAGCTCGCGGCGGCGGAGCGGGACCATGCCCGCCTGCGAGAGCAGCTCGCGACACCAACGGCGACCGGGGACGACGGAGGCGACGCTAGCGCAGACTTGGCCGAGGACGGGGACGGGGAGCTCGCTCGCCTGCCCAGGGGGAGGAGGAGGCAGGAAGAGGAGGAGGGGGGCGAGAAGGAGGAGGGGGAGGAGGAGGAGGAAAAGGAGAAGGAGGAGGGATAAGAGGGGGGGAAGGGGAAGTGGGGGAGGAGGAGGAGGAGGAGGAGGAGGAGGAGGAGGAGGAGGAGGAGGAGGAGGAGGAGGAGGAGCAGGAGGAGGAGGAGGAGGAGGAGGAGGAGGGTCGAGGAGGAAGAGGACGACGTTGTCGACAATGATGGTGGTGATGTTGGTGATGAGGATGATGATGAGGATAATCATGATGCTGATGATGATGATGATGCTGATGCTGATGATGGTAACGATGCTGACGCTGATCATGCTGATGGTGACGATTATGTATGATGGTGATGCTGATGATGACGACGACGATGGTTCTGCTGCCGCTGATGTTTATGGTGATTATGCTGATGATGCTGATGCTGATGCTGAATATGCTGAACATGCTGATGCTGATGCTGATGCTGATGCTGATGCTGATGCTGATGCTGCTGATGATGATGCTGATGATGATGATGATGCTGATTGCTGCTAATGATGACGATGATGATGATGATGCTGCTGCTGATGATGATGATGCTGCTGATGATGGTGATGGTGATGATGATGATGATGATGATGATGATGATGATGATGATGATGAGGATGATGAGGATGATGATGATGATGATGCTGATGATGCTGATGATGATGATGATGATGATGATGATGATGATGATGATGAGAAGAAGAAGGACGTGGAGAAAAACAAGGATGTGGAGAAGGACGAGGAAGTGTTCTGTACCCATCGTTTTTGGTCATGCTTGTTTTTGTTGTTCTCCCCGTCAGGATTTCGGGGGGTCGCGGGACCGTCTTTGTCCTTCCTCTCTTTCGCCGTGTCTGTTCCCCTTTTTCTGCTCTTGCTGCGGCTTCACGCTCGGCCACAGCAGTTGTGCCCGATCGACAGGAAGGAGCGGGGGGTCGCCCGTCGTCGTCGGTGGCGTGAGGTACGACTGCGAGCTATTTTTGTCTGTTCCTTTTTGTTTCCGTGCGTCCTCGCGAGCCACAGCAGGACGCAGGCTCGGAAAACTGCGGGGAGCCTGGCCGCCTTCACAGCCGAGCCAGGGCCCACGGCCGATGAGGTTTTGACCGCGGGCGTTTGGCCCATGGGCCATTCTGTCCCTAACCAGATTTAAGTCGGACCTGTCCCTCTACAGGGGGAATATTAGAAAATAGGAAAAAATAGCCTGGGGACTATTTTTGAGCACTTTTTTGACAATTCCTGAGCATTTTTCGAGTATTTTTCATTTTTCGTCGAACATTCCCCTGTAGGGGGACACGCCCGACTTAACCCTAACTAGATTGTCAGCCGACGGGCCCGCTCGGGCGGGGGATCAGGCACCTCGGACTCGCTGGTGGCGAATCTCGAGGCCGTGATCTCGGACGTTCCGTTCGAGTTTAAGATGTTCCAACCTACTTTAGCCTTGATCACCAAAAAGAATTCCGTTCACCAGGAAAGTACCGAAACTGGAGGGTTTCCACGTGTCGGGCCCTGGGAAGCGATACTCGTTCGACACTGTTTCGATACTTTTCTGGGTGCTCGTAATTATTTCTGGGATGTGGTCCTTAAGTACGATGGGAACAACATAAGTTCGAGTATGAATGGGGCCGCTGACGACCGCGCCATGACATGCGAGCGGTCAGCTCGTGAACGCTGACGGCCGCTGACGGCCGCGCTTTGACGTGGGGCCGCTGACGGCTGCGATGTGACATGCTATGCTTGGGGGGATTGAGAAACTGGAGACGAGCCCGCCATTCCTGCAGCATAGAATGTCGATGCACCGGCGCCCACAAGTGTCTCGCAGAGCGGGGCCGTTGCGTTTGGGCAACCTGGCTCCACGGACGCTGCATTTGGGAAACCTGAGGCCACGGGCGTTGCGCTTGGGCAACCTGGCGCTGAGGACGTCGTGCCAGGGAACCCTGGCACTCTAAAGGGGGCCAGCCGCGTTCAGGATGAACTCGGACAACTTAGTAACGTGGTGGGGCTATATGTTGTGCCCTTTCGTAGCGCGTTCCTCCCTCCTGGCGGTACACCCGAGCGGAACAGAGTTGCAATGTCAGCCAGGATGAGCCAGAACGCGCGACAGAGGCAAACCCCACGACCGTCGAAACGAATTGACGCGGTCCAATGAGCGTCGAATTGACGCGTTGAATTTCTTGTGGTCCATAATCATGAGCGTCGACTTGACGCAGTCCGCGCATATCACACCAATGGGTTTCGAATCGACGCGGGCTAAGGAGCAAGTGAGCGTCGAGCCGACGCGCTCGTGCTGCCAAGTGACCTGCAGAATGTGCAATTTGCTTTGGCCGAGCAAATCATGCAAGTAGTGGAGCGCGCTTGTCTCATGGAGGCGGAGGTGGAGCATCCACGCGGAGAGGAAGATTCCGTGCTGGCCTGCGTACCGCCGAGCTCGATCAGCACAGTAGGCCAACCATGGCGCAGAGGCGCCACGCCCCCTCGGAGTGCGCGCCTCGCCGACGGGCAGGCCGCTGTTCGACGCGAGAGGGCCATGGGCAGGTGGAGGACGCGGAGGAGGAGGAGGAAAAGGAGGAGGAGGAGGACAAAGAGGAGGATGAGGAGGAGGAGGAGGAGGAGGAGGAGGAGGAGGAGGAGGAGGAGGAGGAGGAGGAAGAGGAGGATTGAACGGAGGAGGAAAACGAGGAAGAAGAGGAAGATGAGGAGGGTGAGGATGAGGTAGAGGAGGAGGATGAGGAGGAGGAGCAGGAAGAGGAGGAGGAGGAAGAGGAGGAGGAGGAGGAGGAGGAGGAGGAGACGGACGAAGAGGAAGAGGAGGACGGAGCACGCAGAGGTGGAGGTCAAGAGTGATGAGGGAGGATGCGTACGTGTAAGAATGTTATCGGTAATTGTTCTTCCTCACGGAGGAGCTTGCGGCCCAGACGAAGAGAGCCGAGGCGGCCGAGGAGAAGTTGCGGGCACTCGTGGCCAAAATCAAGGCCGCCTCAAGCCGCAAGGGCTGAGGCCATGCGGCGCCCCCCGGGCCAGGACCCGCGCCATGCTCCCGCGGTCGCTCGCCCTGCCCAGTTTCACTGCTCACTCCCGTGCCCCTCGCCTTCCTCCCCTCCCCCCTTCTCTCTCCTCCCTCCTCCCCCTCCCCCCGCCTCCTCCTCATCCCCTCCTCCTTCTCCTCCTCCTCCTCCTCCTTCTTCGCCTCCTCCTCCTCCTCCTTCTCCTCCTCCTCCTCCTTCTCCTCCTCCTACCCGTCCACCGAGCCTGTGCACCTTTACTTCTTGCATCCGCCTTCCTCCCTCCTCTGCCTTCCCCCTCGAGACTGCGGTGTTCGCGTCTGGATCTTCAATTCGGCGGGTCCTGACTTCACACAGCGTGCCGCGCAGGCCGTCAGTGTCGCGCAGAGCGGGCCGGGCGATACCCGTATAATTAGGTTGCGCAGCACGCCCGCGAGCCTCCCATTCGACAGGCTCAAAAAAGCATACGGGCGTTTTTCCTCCACCCCATCCTCCTCCTCCTGCCCGCCCCCCTCTCCATCCTCCTCGCCATCTCCTCCCCCTCCTCGCCGTCCTCCCTCTCCTCGCAGCCTCGATGCCGTCCACCGTGATGCCGAAGGTTACCTCGACTTCTGGGGGAGCGGGTCGGGCGGGAGGTTTTCGGACGACCCCTGGCGCCGTCGAGTGCGGCACTGGTGCCGCTGCGCTCGCCCCGCCTGGTGATTTCTGGGAGCTCGTCTGGGGCCGCGTGCGGAGATGTCTCCTCCTCCTCCTCCTCCTCCTCCTTCTCCTCCTCCTCCCCCTCCTCCGGTTTGCGGAGGGCTTGCGGGCCAAGTCGGGGCCACTCCGCTTTGTCACCACGAGCCTTCGGTAGCCGCGTGTGCCAGAGGTCGAGGATCGGGCGAGCCGCCGAGCGGCAGAGACAACATGTACCCATCGGTCGTTGAACTTCTGTATTTTTGGATCCCCAGATCGAAAGCTACTTTGGCCGCCTTCCTACTTCAAGAGTCGAGTGGTTTTCCCTCTTCCCTCCTCTTCAGGGGGCGGGGGGAGACCCAATCTACTTCCAACGCCTTCCTACTTCATGGTTCTAACTACTTCTTCCGACCGATGGGTACCTCTGGGCCAGGATTGCTGCAGCGGTTGCTTCGAGAGGCCCTGCCCCGATGCCAGTCTTGTGGGTGGCCTCCCACCCAAGGGGGGGGTGGGACAAATTTCTTGAGCGAATTCGTTTCCATGGTGGCCTCTGGGAACGCATGTGCGGACTCCCTGTCTTCGGCGGCGAGCTCGTGGGGAGGTGAGAACGGGTGGGTCTTCTCAGAAGGCTCGGAAGTTCCGCTGCATTCTGAGCAGTTTTCTAAGCTTTCCGAGGAATCGCAGAAAACTTTCAGAAGGCGCGAGGGCTTCCGAGAAGCCCCGCCGCCTTCTGGGAAGGCCTCCTCTCTGCGCCGAGCGGACTCAGCGCCCGAATGCACGAAGGGCCATTCCAGATTCCAACCAAGCCCCCCTCCCATCGCACTGAGGGAGGCCGTGTAAGTTCAACGGCCTGCATCATGTGCACACGTTTCTCCAGACCTGCCAAAGGAGTTCTAGATAGGCGAAACGAGTTCTAGAAAAAACACATTGATTGTACTTGCGCATGAGATCAAGCGCAGCCACAATACAGTTGGACAACTACATAACCAATGACCTATCGAGAAACTACCTTCTTAGAGTGTGAAAAACGATTCTAGAGTTCTGGATTCGCCTGTCGGGTGATTTTTACGTGCTCCTTCACCTGCCGGGCGACTTTCGCGCGCTCGTCAGCCTGTTGGGGGCAGGTCGCGTGCTCGGATGACCCCGCGCGATCGCCCCCAGACCGTGGGAGGGGCACAGAAGGCCATGGGAGGCTCCTCCTCCTCCTCCTCCTCCTCCTCCTCGTCCTCCTCCT